TCGTCCTTCCGGCAAGGCGAGACATCCTTTGGCAGGACTTCTTCATCCAGCACCAGAAAGTCTTCACTTAACGTGCTGGACACTGCCCAACAATCCTTCTGCTCGGCGGGACTTTCTTGTGATGCTGCGGCCATGGCCACAAGAGGATGACGCTCTTCAACCCGCAAGGTGTACAACAGCCGAATACGACATTTTACTACGTGGTGCAACGAACATGCTGTGGCTCCAACCGACGCTCCTTTAAATACTGTCGCTGAATTTTTCATGTACCTTTTCAACCTGGGCCTACAAGTCTCCACGATCCGCAACTATAGATCAGCCTTAGCCACTATACATTCTGGTTTTGCAAAGTGTGCATGAAAACAATAAACCAGCCATTTACAAATCGTCTCGACCAGAGCTCTTATATAATGACGCAGAGGGCAGGAACGCATTCATGAGAATTCCATCAGTGGCCTTTTCATGGTACCACACGATGAAGATTTTGTGGTTTCCTCGATCATCATTTAGTCTTTCCCCGAGACCCCAGTGCTAAGTGGCAGATCGTGCAGAATGGGTCGTATTTATGGTAAATGTTCTGTTTAGCAAGTTCAAAACCCTGGAAGGGTGCTCTACAAAAATAATCACTGACGCCCAGAACTGAGACTGATATCCTGACAGCCGTGCGCCTGCATGTCGTTCCCACGCTTTTTCCTTGGCAATAACCCAAATCTGCCATAAACGACTGATTGCTGAGTATAGGTTGAACGTGTAAAAGGCAAAATGGGCTTGGTTACATAGTCTTGTCATGCTCCTCAGTAAATTTTCATGCTGCAAACAAACCGCCGAACCAAACCAAAAATCATCGAACATGGCTTTTAAAAACCAAACCAAACTTGATAAAAGAAGCCAACACACCATGAAAAATAGATAACGAGTTTGACGAATTTGACACCGCAAACCTCGGCACACGTGCGTGTTCGGACATACAATGGCCCGCATCATATAATTGTTGTAAAACGCACATTGTGAGAATTCACTAATACTTAACAGAGAAGATGCAACGTACGGCATTTCCGCGGCTCAACAATGCTATATTCTCACTACATCCGATTATGCTAATGTATATTCAGATAACATCATGTGCGTCAATCTCCAAAAGCTCTGCCTTCACATTCCATATAAGGCCAATGATGTCATAAATAGCCGTAAAAGACAATGTTTGATTGGATGCATGGTGATCGTAGTAGGACTCGTGTTCGATCTTAAGGCAACCCCGGAGAGAAACCAATGTTACCGGACGGACCAGACCAGTCTGCGCGTGCAACCAGATTTTGTGAGTAAGGTGGCCTAGAAACTTGTCTTTTGTTTGGTCAAGTTGTTGTACATATACGCTGTGATAGCATTTTCAAGATTCCTAGTAGATGTTCCAAAATCTCAAATTACAAAATGCCGTTATCCGTAAATTGCCCCTATGGCCACGTGCATGAACATGCACATACGTGTGTATACATGTCTGACCGTGAACCTAACCAAACCAAACCTTGGTGGTCGTGGTAAATTTCCACCTCTTTGTTGAGAGGCAGAATCCTTGTGTCTGTTTTATTTTAAATCATACAATTTCCTGTCAACTTCAAATGATGTGGTCTGAATATTTTTTAAAGTATAACTTAATGAGATATAGATGATGAATTCTGAATGCTTCTCCCACAGTTATCTCCTTGCTGGCCCGAGCTCTAAAGAGGACTTTGTAAAAAAGTATTGCGTCATGACTGCATGATTTGCTGATCATAATTGTTACGAACTACTAGTGCGTAATGTCCATACTTGAATTATATCCAAACACTTGAAAATTACGGTTTGATGCTGAATAAGTGTAGAAAGTTATGGATTTACAGTAAACTGTAACATTAAACAGTGGCGTAAGCCGATGTTAGTATCTTTACCCTCATCCTACTAAAAAGGAAAGCTCATGGTGCTCCCCTCAAAACGTACAATGATATAACGCAGTCTTGGCATTTATGGAATAATTACAAGTGGTTTTCAGTTTTAGGGCCCACAATGGGGATGACTGTGCCACAACGCAAAAAGCTATTAAAACAAATAGAGCTACAGAAGCCAAACATAAAGCGTTTTTTCCCGTGGACAATGGCAACCTCAGCAGCCAAATAAGCCTGATTGTCATAGGAAAAACATATAGCCACTACAGCCACTACGTCGCTGTACATTGTTGATGTGATTGGAGAAGAGACAAACGGAAGACAGGGCTACACCCTCCAGAGTCAAATCAATTGTTATCTAGAATGAAGTATGTCTGCCACCTCTGGATAAATATTCAGTTATCTACGAGGTAAATATAATGTTCATAGCACCATATTAATCGGCCAAAAAAGTCTCTGAGCTTGCTGGTGCGTCAGCGTGGTCAAACATGCTTGTAAAAATGGTTACCGTGTTCCTTGGGTTCTTATACCTAATTCAGTGCAGTGTTTGGACGAACAGACTGAAAAAGCAGAGATTGCGTGCTCACGTCACAGGAAAGTCCCAACTTAACAGCTGACTAATGTATGATGGAATTGTTTTATGGCGAAAGAACAAAATTATGAAAGCGTTCGAACCCAAATGAAAACTTAAACCATAAATGTACTAATCCAGATGTTCACACAGTAAATCATGTTTTGAAATGTAAGTAACAATTGTAAAACAAACTTCACGAAACAGGGATTGAATTCTGCGCCCGCATTGTGCCTGCTGTTCAGGAAAATTGGTGGTCTCGTTGTTGGTGGGATACGCTCGCTGACCGTTTTTGGACGACTTTACTCTCTGAGGCAATCTAGTGGCAGCGTGAACAAGAAATTTTGCATGCTTGAACAAGTTTACTGACGATCAAGGATCAATAAATTTTGTTTCCCCGCAGTGACGAGAAATATATTACTGCTACTAGTTATCTATGTTTGGAGAAAATTAAGCCAAAAGTAGCCTCGTAGTGATTTTTTTCCCTGAGCCGGGAATCCGCAGAATATTGGGCATATTCATGAGACTGGTAATTTACATAAACCTTGCATATTGCGTTCCGTCTGCGGGTGCACCCGGTTGTCAAGGGGTCTTTTGTTTGGCAGGGACTGGCGTGCTCTCCGTGATCCCGTGGGATGTCTGCGGCGCGGAACGGTTGGTCTGTTTCACGATGCCACCTTACCTTCTGTTCTAACACTGTTTCCGGTACTTTTTAGGAAGTTATGCTAAGGGTGTAGTTTATGATTAAGCTTCAGTAAATAAGTTGCTTCACTGTAGAAGTCCACTTTCTCAATCAAATGTTTCCCTGCATATATAGGCCTGTGCCAAAAAGCTGGCAGGAGGGCTCCATATCTCTCTAAATATTAGTATAACTCTGGAGTTTTTTTTTTACCTTAGTGCACTGATCACATCAGTTCACAGAGGGACTAAGACTTGTCCCTCCCGTGGCTACTGTTTTGATGACCTGGAGTCCTACTTAACCAAGATTGGGGAATGGGACATGACCTCACCCGGCCAGCAGTATCTGGCTGGGTGAAGTAGATGAAATAATGGGACCAGCCCACCTGAGAGAAGATGGAGCAAGCTGGGCTTATGAGAGACATCATGACACAGACACAGACATGGCCAACAGAGTCCCCCATTCCCATGCCCCTTTCTCTGTACTCCTTCAGACTGGAGAGACTCAAAGCCCAGTCTCTCTTCATAGGAGATACAGGTCTGGTATTAACCTCCAACAAGATAATGCGAGGCCATTTCAGCTCCCAATCAGAGAAACATGAAGTGGACTTGGAGCATCAGTCCTTCAAGCATTATATGGCTCTCTTATATGTGGGTGAAGAATTTGTCTTTCTGAAACTTCCATTCAGCTCCCTCTGTGTAGATGGTCAAGCTTCACCAGCAATGAGAAAGCAACTATAGACAATATACATGTACTTAAGGAGCTGGAGAGGGGTGCCAGGGAATTGAATGAAAGTATTCTTGCTATAAATTGGTCTCAAATACCTGGTCCACATATGCGTGCAATGAAGAATCACAGGTCTCAGTGATCTGGTAGTAGTAGCCTCCAAGTGCCAGGAAGAGTAGTACATGAGCCATCTTTACGAGAATTAAAAAAAAAAATTCTCAATAAGCCTTTTTCAAGTTAAGTTTGAATAAACTCTGGTACACTGAGTTCATTAAATCCACGTGATCATAACAATTTGAATTCTCCATACTAAAGACACTGTTGCTATACCTCATGATTCAGGGCAAGCGTTTGCTTAGTTACATAAGAGACGCCTTGCAACAGTACACCATTTTCAATGGATAAAAAGGACAAAAAGGAACCTGCCCATTCCAGAGATGGTGGTTGCTATGCAAAAGCTTGACCCAAATCACGAGGTATAGCAACAGTGTCTTTAATCTGGGAAATTCAAATTTTTACATTTGTGTGCACTCAGATGACTCACTGTACTCAATTTTATTCAAATTTAACTCGCAAAAGGCTTATTAATTGACCTAGGCAAACCCCTTTGACACAGTGGATGTAGAGGGACTTCAGGAACTCTCACTGTTGAAAGTGACATTGTCCAGGGTCCGTTTCAGGAAGCAGTTGATCAAAACTTGTTAGGCAGTAGAGAAATCTGCACTCACTGTTGTCAATGTCAGAATTTCATGTCATGATACAGTTAGACTGGTTAAAATATGGTCAGATTTGTGCCTGGAGTACAGGTAGAAAATACATGAGCACCTCCAACACGGTGACTAGATGCAGCAAGTTAAACAGTACTGAGGTAAACAAAAACAACCTTCTTCTGGCAGTTTCCTGACCAGCCCTATTTTACAGGCCTTTTTTTTTTAATCAGACATGGGGATAAAGAGATTAAAAGCTGCTAAAAAAAATGTCTATTTCCATTATTCTCACCAGCCCTGTGCATTGGCATGACCCCAAAGTTTTTATTGGCAAGTTAAAATGGTATAACCAATTATAAAAAAGAAATCTTTCATGTTATTTCTTGTCTTCCACCCAGGGAGTTGTTCACAAGTCAACATCCAGTCTGTTCCTATTTATCCATCGCTCGCCATCAAGCTTTCAAGAGGAGATCACAAATGGATGAAGAGTTAATGCCTCCATGGTCAATTGGTAAGTTTCTTTGTTTTCTAGTAATCTGAGGAGCATAGGATTACCAGTAGCGCTCAGCACTTACAAGTATTTAGATTTAATCAATGAAGTCTGAAAATGTTCTCTTTGTCTCAATGACAAGAATACTAGAGGGAAAAAGTTTAATTTTCTCCTTTTTTGGTCAGTTGCATGAATTTCCGTTTGTTTCCTTTTGAAACAACTTGTCTTTCTCATCCTGAGAAATCTGTGATATGCAATTCAAATTACTTGCGACAAATATTCTTTTATTGGCCATATGTGGATTTTTTTTATTAGAGTCTACATCTTCAAAAATGCTATGTGGAACTTATTCTCAGATGACACACAAAACACAACTTGAAACAAGAGTTTGAGCTTATGGCATAGTTCTTCATGCCACAAATCTTTTTCTTTATTTTAATTTCTCAATCATAACTTTTGGCATAAACTGGCCATAAAAAATGATGGCATGTTTGCCCAAATCCTTGCCATGCCTGGTATCCTGTGGGCCCAAAACATGGCATGCTTGCCAACCAGAAAACTAGCCCCAGCGGAACAAATGGGCGGAAGTCACCGTGTTTTACAATTGATTCCTTTACTAGAAGTTCTTATTATGTGACTAAATTACTTTCAGTGAATTTCAGGAAGTGCACTGATTTTTTTCCATTGTTTGCAAATACGGTTGGAATTGGAAGCCCTCCCCCCGAACAAGTAGGTGCTTGGCGTAGTGTTGTAAACAAATGCAGCATTAATACAGTCACAAAGGTTGGACCTGAAAATGTGCGTTTCCGGTATCCAACAAAAGAACACCGTCGTACCTAATATATATAAATAGCAGATCACGCTGGCGCATACAGAAAACAATCAAAACGTATAAATCGTTTGTTCCTACGTGAACAATTAACATGGCCGGTTGAGGCCATCAAGTAGACAGCTCAATTCTGAGTTTTGTAATATCGGCAAATTGAGCTCTGCCTAGACCATTGCAGTGAACTTGCAGTTTACATCCCAGGTATGTCTTGTGAGTGTTTGAAGTTAAAGCTGCCATCAATAGGCGGTGCATCTCACCTTCTAACAGTTCTGTTTGATGTCTTGGATTAGGGTCATTTTGTCCTCAGCCTGAGGGGTGTGAGCATGGAAATGGGCCACCTGAAAACGGGAAAGGGAATCGGCTGTGTCATTTTGAATTCCTGGAATGTGAACGGCCTTAAACGTGATATTATATTGCAGACGGGTGAGCCAACTGCATGATCATATCACAGTGTGAGGATTGCTTGTTAATGATGTAAACCACAGCCTCATTTTCTGTCCAAAAATGCACTTTACGATTAGCTAACTGAGGAGCCCAACAATACATGGCAATCACCAAAGGATAGATCTCGCAGTATGCTTTGGATGGCGAAAGTGCAACCAGCTCGGGAGTCCACTTCCCTTGAAACCATTGACTGTTAAAGTAACTGCCAAAACCAATGCTTGCAGCCGCATCAGTAAATAACTCCAATGTGTCGTTGTCAAGTCAGTCTTGATCACGCAATTGTGAAACCCCATTGAAATGATCAAGAAAGTCCAACCGCATTAATCGGCCGTTTGTTGAACATTTTTGCGCCCGTTGTTATGCGTGTATTATTATTATTGTTATTATTATGGTTTATTTATTTGAATTAAAAGCAGCCCACTGGCTGAAAACGTTCAATATTACAATGGGCATTTTAGTTAAAAAGTACTTAAAATACAATGAGTCCACCTTTGAGTTGTAGATTAAAAGGTGCAAATCACAAAACAAAAAATTATTCACTATCATTAACAAACGACAAAGATTTGCTTAAAACACTGCTGATTAAAACTGAGTGTTCAACTATGTAAAGATGAAAAAGAGAAATCACTAGAGACTAGAGAAATGGCTATTTAAAACTGTGGTACAGAAGCTTGAAATTAACATTTAAAAAATTGCGTAGATCAAAAGGGTATATTACACTTACCATTTTAGAATTCTGGCCAATGATGGAATGGTAGATTTCTTATACCGCTCAGTAATACAGTGGGGTATGACAAGAGCAGAGACAGTAGTGGACCTCAATTTTCTGCCTTGCTTGTTATTTTCTGGGGGAAACATATGTCAAAATCTATTCAAACACAAAAGTTTGTTTCCAAAGTTGTGCAACAAATCAAATCTTCTGGATTCTAAGCTTTGAATGTTGAGTCTGGCAAGAGCATGGGAGTAAGTATTACATTCATCGCCTAGTATGATATGACAAGCACGCTTCTGAATGCGTTCAATAGATTTACTTTGCTCAAGACTAATTGATGTGTGCCAAACTAGACTAGCATATTCCAGAATGGGTGTAATGCAGCAATTTAAGACTGTTAGCCTGTCATCTACAGCCACTTTTGCCTTCTTAAGGATACATCACGTATATAATCTATGAGAGGCTCTAGAAGCAATATCAGTACTGTGCAAGTTCCACTTCAAATCCTTTTGTAAAATAATGCGTAATAATTTCATATGAGACACATCATTCAAATTAACCAAGTAATTGAAAGTGATTCCCTGGGTATTTCACGTTTCATGAAACTAACTACCAAGGATTGACACTTCGAGCATTTAGGCAGAACATCGTTGTTACTATACCAGGCCGCAAGATTGTCTGGGTGATTTTGAAGTTTGGCTCCTCGTCATATTGAACAATTTCAGCCAAAGTCAGATCATCCACATATTTCCATCGCCTGCAGCAATCCTCAGACACATCGTTGACAAGTGCAAGAAAAAGAATTGGACCTAATTTTACGACGATGTTTTATGACGCCTGGTGAATGCCGGGCCTGGGGCGACAGCGCGACATACCAAATTTCAGTGAGCCTACTAAGCATTGGATTTCCGTTATAACAACTTCCTCCATCCCATACATGACTGAATTTTTTCCCAGAGTCCCAGTACTTTGCTGCTTGGCACCCGAATCTTGCACTTCACTGTATCAATGTCCAAACCCAACTAAGTAATAGTTTGACAAGGGCCCTGTCTTCTCTTCAGCAAGTGGAACTTGTAGTTGCACACAAACATCTTAAAATGAACTAAAAAGTAACTCACATCATTCCTTGGTTGTACTAATGAACGAAAAATCATCAAGGTAATGTGTAATAGTGTCTGATCCAGAAACCCGCTGAAGTTGTTGAAGTGTGTCTGAAAGACAAACATAATATTCCCCCCACACGTGAAGACGATAAGCAAACCGGTTTGCTTCTACAAAAAGCATCCATTCGTATGAATATATGACTTCTTTTGATTGATTTAACAAAATGTAACTTCCACTTCGAGAATCATTTTATTCTTCTCGCCAACAAAAACATATTTCTGACAAAGAATATGCCCACGCTCAAAAAGTCTGGTCAACGTTTGGATGCAAAACATTAGGCAATTATCACAATCTATATATAAAAACAGATACTTTGCTTTTATCAGATGTGTTTCAAAATTTTAGAGACACATAGTACAAGCATTATGGCCTCGACCCCACCAATTACTTTACAGCCCCAGGACTTTTTTGGGACGCGTTGTTAAAATACAGCCAAGCCCAACTCAAACAATTCACAAAGATCGATAAGAACTTTTTTTGATGAAGGCAATCGAGGAGGCATCTCGAGCATGGGAGGTAAACGGTTAACAAAAGCAAATAACAAATGCCTCCCTGATTATGACCCAAAAAAACCCACAGTTTTCTGTTGTATCTCGATGCAAACAATCTTTATGGATACACGATGTCACAACCTTTACCATTTGCCAACTTTCGCTGGGTTGATAATCTAGAATGCTTCACAACAGATTTTATTTTAAGCTTAGGCTCTTACGACAACTATGGATATATGATCGAGGTTGATCTGGACTATCCCAACCATTTACACGATATTCAGAATGATTTTCCTTTTGTGCCGAACACAAAAAATCAATTCAGACCAATTTAGCCCTGCCTGAAAATTATTACTCAGCAATAAAGCCCCCAACATTAAAAAAAAGCATTGCAACTAAAAAAGAACATATCATACATTATCGATTATTGCAACTTTATTCTTGGACAACACACAAAACAGTCTTGCAATGTAAATGTAGGTTTGACTTTTGGGCATAGATTTCCTAGCCGCTGTGTTATTTCTTTTGTATTCATTATGCTTATACCAGAACTTTAGCAGCTTGCCAAAATGGGCACGTCTGCCCAGATCAAGAGCATAGGGCATGCTTGCCCGAATCCTTGCCAAGCTTGGCAGCTATGGACCCAAATCCTTGGCATGCTTGCCATCCGTTGGTGTCAGGTCAACTCGCCCCCTGACTGACTCGCCCCTTACCGACTCGCCCCTTTCCAACTCGCCCCCTCGTAAACTCACCCTCTGACCGACTCCCCTCTTACCAACTCGCCTTCTGGCCGACTCGCCCCCTGGCTGACTCGCCCCCTTGGAACGTCAAGCAAATGTGGCCGGCCAATGTAATAAAA